AAAAATATATATTTTTCAAGGCTGCACTTTTAAAAAAAGTTTTTGTTTTATACTTGTGTAAACAAAATGGCATATAAATCAGTCTAACTCTACTATTAATAGGAATAGCCCTTTCTTATAATTAAGAATAACATAAAGTTTTTTGTTTTGTTTTTTAACTTGTTTTTAAAATGGAAATATATTTTCCACTGAAAAAATGAAGACAATAAAGAAAATATAAATGGGGACAAAACTATCTTAAAAAGATTATGTTTACAAAGGACTCATTTTGGATCTTATTGGCTTTATAATTCCTCAGTTATTCAGAAAAAATATTTGTAAATATGATGGGGCTAGTAGTAAATTTTGTTTGGGTTCCAGCAGGATAGAACAAATAAGGTAAGGATAGATATTAATGTTAGTGTTAGTATAACAGAAATAAAGGATATAATTAAACAAAAAATAAAAGAGAGAAGAATAAAAGGAAGGTGGTTCTATAAAATCCAAAAGAGAATTGGACAAATGAGAAGAACAGACAGGAACAGAAGAGAAGAGATATTTTGACTCAGAATAGGACACACAGGATTGAATAGTTCATTATTTTTAATAGGGAAACATCAGACAGGGAAATGTGACTGTGGGGAAGATGAAGCGGTGGAACGTGTTATTTGGTATTTGGAGTTGTAGAAAATATTTGATTCAGAGAAACAAGTTAATTAGGAAACTAAGTAATATGAAAATGAAACTTGACATTTGTGATTTACTGCAAAAAATAATCAAAGCAGAAGCAGAGAATATCAGGTTATATTTGAGTTTTTGAAACAGGATATCGTTTTTTTTTTTTTTTTGTTTTTTTGCCATGTGGTCCACACTCCTTACCAGTTGGTGGCGGTAATGTTCACCTAACGTTTTTGCCAAGCGCCATAAAACTTTCAAGAAGAAGTAGAAGAAGAAGAACGGGGAAAAAAAAAAATTAAGCTCGATGCGCCTGGGATCGACTATTCTGGTCTGAATATCGACTGTTCTTAGTTCCCTGACAATAATGGCGGAGGATCAGCCCCCACAGCCTGTTAAAGCTGATACAACCAACAGTACACCGACAGAGGGATATGATAAGAAATGCATTTTCTGTAGGATTGTAAATAATGAAATGGGAACGGAGCTTCTCCACAATGTGAGCATTTTATGCTTTATGTCGTATTTTGGACAGTTAGCTAGCTAGCTTTAGCTTGTTTTTTTTCTAACAGAAGTTCATACCAGCAAATTTAGCTACTTTAGATTCTGAATGAACATATTGCCCTGATTTTTATTCTAAATTGCTGACATGTAACGGTGAGCTGAGCTTTAGTGGTGTATAATCATTGTATTTGTATGTTTATGGTGTGATTAATGAATGTCCTATACCTCCCTCTGGTGTAGAGCCATTTCATAGGTTTGATGTCAAAGATCCGCACCTTTTCACATTTTAATTGTAGACTGTTTATCCTCAGGATCTTACCGTTTATTTGAGGAATATATATCTGTAAAGGGTTTGGCTTTAATTACAGATAGATAGATGGATCACTGAGGGTACAAAGTCCCTCTTGGTTTAGGTCATTGACTTGAATGCAGAGGCTGCTGATAAACTACATAGTGATCATTGGTGCACTTTGTGAAATAATTGTGTTGCAGGATGGAGATCTTTCCTGTTTCAGGGATATTAAACCTGGAGCTCCACATCATTATTTAGTTGTCCCAAATAAACATGTTGGAAACTGCAAATCTCTCAACAAGGAGCATGTGCCTTTAGGTGAGGTGATTTATTTTGTTGCTTGGTTTTATTTTGTCTCTGTGGTGAATCATATAGTCTTCCTTGTTTAATGGAGCATTATGACTCCCAAGATGTGATCACTGTTGTGCAGGTTGATCAGGTTAAAGGAACATTACAAGTAAAACATTTAAATCAGAAATCAAATAAAAATAAATAAATGTTCTTGTATTTTTAGTGAAGCAAATGGTTGATGTCGGGAAGGATGTACTACAGAAAAACAGCGTAACAGATCTCACTGATGTCAGGTTAGCAACATTCAGCATTGTACAGAAGTGCAGTAAGTGTTGATATGATGTGTAGCTGATATCCTGTATGTTTCCTTTGTAGGTTTGGTTTTCATTGGCCCCCGTTCTGTTCTGTAACACACTTACACCTTCATGTCCTGGCACCAGTCAGCCAAATGGGCTTCATGTCCCGCCTCATTTATAGACTTAACTCCTACTGGTTTGTCACGGTAAGTTCTGGAGTCCCTGACATTTTAGGTTTAAGGATAAAATAAAATCCTCTCAGTCATCAGACACGAGAGCTGTAAACATTTCACCTTTTGTCTGTGACTGTTAGTCACACTGAGGTGTTACATACAGTAACAGTTTCCTAAACCCAGCAGCTGTTTGAGCCAACCGTCATATTTACTACAGTGTAAAAGACATTGTTAATAGAACACTGGTTTGACTGATGGGATTTACCCAAAGAGGAAAAGATAACAATTTACCCTGTTTAGTTGAGTAAATTTTCTCAAATCTAAATTCAATAACTATAAAACACCAAGTAGGTTAATTCTACTCATTTCAATTGTACAACCTTAAAAACTGTTTATTAGGGAAAAACCTCAGCTTTGGATTGAACCCATGATCTCAATCTTGCAACTGCAGAGTTACAAACTGCACCGTCACCCAGTTTGCTGGCTTGACTTTTAAACAGTTTCTCAAATAGTGCTGCACGATTACTCTTAATCAAAATTACTGACTTATAATTTATAGGGTTGTGTTTGGAATAAATACAGTTCTAAATTGTTTTAATTGATTCCCAAAGAGCGATTCCTATATTTACACATTGCACATTTTATGCTTTATGTTGCATTTTGGACTGACTGTTAGCTAGCTTTAGCTTGTTTTTTGCTAACATAATTTCATAGCTGCAAATTTAGCTACTTTAGATTTTGACTGAACATATTTCATAATTTCCTATGACAGAGCGCCACAGGAAATCATTCCTACCTGTGGTCATCCGTAATTTACATTTATGCACTATTTTTGCACGCCACCTATCACTTTACTTAGATTTATCACTTTACTTGGATTTAGTTTTTACATATGCATAGATATACGTACAGATATATAAACATAAGAGCTATATGTGTATATATTTTAGCTCTTTTTATTCAAATTTTTTTATCTTTATTATATTGTATAGTTGGATGTGTGTATATATTATATTATATTGTATAGTTGGATGTGTGTATATATTATATAAAACTGTAACTGGAGCGTGTAACAAAAGTAATTTCCCTCTGGGATTATTAAAGTATTTCTGATTCTGATTAAAGTGCACATTTAAAAACATTGCTTATTTTCACTGCCCTTATAGCTGCTATTAACTTTTATTACTTTATTCATTTGCTATTGAATGTTAATGTTATACTTGTATGTGTAGCCTGATAATGCAGTCATGTAATTCAGGAAAGAGCCAAAATATCTATTTTTAATACCAGTAATCCCATTTTTGATCGAACTGCGTCGAATATGATTAGAGGTGAAAAATGAAATAGATTCTCAAGATTTTGAAACCTGAGAATCACATCATCATTTACTTCCTGACACATGCGCACATTGCAATAGCTAAAATCTTTAGGTACATTTTATGAGATATTTTATGTTAAAGTAGCTACTTTTAACAAGAAAGTAAATTATAATTTATAATCTAGATTATTTTCTGCTTAATTGGTAATAAAAAAAAAAAAAATCATGGATTGTTTTTACCATCCTACAAAACTAGTGTAAGAATACAGGTTTATTACTGCAATTAGCAAACTATTAGTTAGCACAGAGGCAGAGATTGTGCTGAACATCTAACATCTGTTGACATTTTCTAATGTTTTTACAGGCAGATCAGCTGATTGAGCTTCTCAACTCTAAAGCAGAGACGAACTGAAGCACCAGGATCTGTTTTTGTCTTCTCTCTGGATTTTTTAATAAAATAACTTCAATCAACCTTGCTGGAGCTGACATGTTTGGTGACAGAGGAGTTAAAATGTTTTCTGCTTTGGCCAAACTTAAAGGGAATGTTTTATTTTAGATGCCTCTACTACATCATAAAGACATTCAGGGTAACAAAGGAAGGCAAATATTTAGTGTTAAAAACACCAAATATTTAAATATTTAACATGGTGTTAAAACTCTTTGGTAATCTGCCATCTCAGATAAAGATAAAACTATGTCTATCGACCAAAGAGTATAAAAGAGATTTTTTTTTTTTCATTCCGTATTTTAGAGTTGATTTAATGTTCACTGCATAACAGCTGATTTTCATCAACGGAATTTCACTTTTAAAATTTGAAGCTGAAATCGGTCAATTTTCTGTCATGTTTGAAAACTTTTATTGTGAAGATCAGGTTTGTGAACAAAACTAAATTGCAACTTTATAAAGCATTAATCTAAGACAAGTATTCCTTGTGTTGTCAATGTTTAATTATAATATTACTTTAAACATTCAATATAAAATGCACTGGAATGGATTTAAGGTTCATGTGATATTTTAATGACTGCAATTTGTAAATGTTAATGATTATTTAAAAATAAGCTTATAGGCCATGTGCGATTATTGAACTTGGGCTTTTTAAAACCTGCTTTACCTCAAACTACTTTGACATAATTGGAATCAGAATTCAAACTAAGAAAATAGAGAAAATACAGACCATTAAGTTGTGAAGCTTTTAAATTTACAGCGCATGTTCACCTTTCATCAGAATATAGAGCATTGTCATTCATAACTGCTACATATGAACTGAATATAAGAGTATTAACATTATAGCATGTTTTGTACAATACATATGCACTTTATTAATTACGAATAAACAATGTTGCCCCTAATGGCTGGTGTAATATTTTCTAAATCTCTGGTGGGGTTTGTGACTGGTATGATTTCACTGTACATCTAACTGTGGTTCAGACACAGGAAAAATGTGTTACCACCATGACAGCGTAACTACAGGGCAGCTGTGTAATAAATACATAGCGTGAGACATCCAGCCAAGTCGGATCAGGTTCATCCTATAGCACCATATTATCTGTCACAGGCAGGCTTTGTGTTCTCTTTGGCGTCGGTTCAGTCCCCTCTAACACTCTGACTTTAGCTGCTCATTCATCTACTTTCAATACATAATAAAAGAGCAGTGGAGTTTTAAGGAAGCAGAGGATTTTCTTTTCCTCATCTAATCACTTAAAACAACAAGCAAAATCAACTGATTAAATTATTTAACAAATAAGTCGTACTTAATAACCAAAGGACGAAGACATATAAATTTAAATAACAGTGCATCCATGCTTCTCTTAGAAAGGGGATAGTTGTTCATGGAAAACATTGTGTTAAACCTATCACCCATCTGGGTAAATTGCATCTGAAGAATGTTGAATTGGCAATGAATACTTTTTTACACCAAAGTATTCCTTAGTCAGAAATAATATATTTCAGCTAGAGCTTAGTTTAGTGTGTCTAACAGGGCAATAATCCCAAAGACAGCAATGAATATACCATGGGATGGCTAAAATAAAAAATTAAGACCTTCTGGTGGCCTAGTCAAAGTACAGTTCAACCTAGACTGAATTGTTGTGTTGGGACCAGCAGAGCTACAAAAAATTGTAATAAAGTGTGGGTCAAAATCCCAGCTGAACAATGTGAGCAGCTGATAAAAGTATCCAGAAAACAGATGTTTCAGTTATTAATGCTGACAGGTATTTCCCCCCTAATTGTAGTATTTTCTTTCATAATTATCAAATGATATCCTTTAATAGAAGCATTCTTTGGGTATGAAACTATATTGCTTTGCTTGCTATGGGTTGTTTTTTCTGAGGGTTAAATCATTTAAGTCATTGAGGCCACCTCCAGTTTCTACAGTGTGTAGTTGTAGGGTTCATATGTACAACATGATTCAAGATATAGAAACAAACCCAAACATTTGCTTATTCCAGCAAAGTGATAACTACATGATCATCCTTCCCTTGCCACAGCATCTCCCCCTTGAAGTCCACCAGTCCCTGTTTTCTGGCTCGTAAAAGAATTCCCACCAGGGTATTAGAAATGGTCACATAATGTTCAAAAAGTTTCCCAAATTCAACCATGATCGTTTTTCTCCTGCCGCCGTCTCCATCCTCCTCCTCTTTTAGTTCCCCTATGTTCCTTATCACCTCACACAGCTTCTGGACCTCTCTGCCGATGTGTGTGTGAGCCTCCTTCCCACGTTTCTCAGTCAGAGAGCCCTGCTGGGGTCTCCCGTAGTCATCCTGTCCCCTTTGAAGGGCCACTACACTTGGTCTGGTATCGTGACTGAAGGGATTGAGCTTCTGGTTCTCCTGGTGCTCATTGGACCATCTCTGCCAGTTTTCTTTCAAACCTTTTACAGAAACAATGGGCATCGCACTGTCCTCGCCACACTGAGCGTTGACATTCGCCTCGTTGCTCCTCTGGCTGTTGGTCCCCATTTCTCACTCCAGTCATTTCTGAACACAAAAAAAGAAGGATGAAGATTAATTAAGATTAACTTGATCAACTTTCAACGACAGTGGAGCTATTATTTCTGTCCTGATCTTATCTACACTTAAAATCTGTGAACATCGCTGACAAGGTGTGGAAATGGTTGTCTAGGAGGATTGGATCAAAATGCCAGCAAAATTTTCAGAGAATCTTTGATAAAAAGGAAACCCTAAAGAATTGCCCTACCTGGTATGAAGGCAATATGCTGCCAATTACAAGTAAATTGATTGATTGACTTTATTGATCTCACAGGGGAGAAATGTGCTTGTTTCATTGGCTCAATAGTCAAAAGGAAGGTGTCAAAGGGAAGAAAAGGTCCATATATATATAACAGCTGAAGTCACTTGTTTAACATTATTACTCAAAGTTATTGCACAGGTTTTTAAATGGGTATTTACATAAATAGGTATTTTTATAGGGGCTACTCAGGGGCTACTGCCTTGCAGCAAGAAGGTTCTGGGTTCAATTCCCAGCCCGGGGTCTTTCTGCATGGAGTGAAGTTGGAGTGCATGTTTGCATGTTCTCCCTGAGCATGCATGGGTTCTCTCTGGGTACTCTGGCTGCCTCACACAATCCAAAAACATGACTGTTAGGTTAATTGGCTTCTCTTAATATATATATATATAGTTATTACACTGGGTATTAAACATAAAAACTGGTTATTGCACAGGGTATAAAAAATAGTCATTGCACATTAGTTATTGCACAAGTTATTGCAATAATAGTGCCACATTGTAAAGTCTGATGGCAGCAGGGATGAATGACCTGCGGTAGCGCTTCTTTTTACAGAAAAGGTGTAAAAGTCTTTCACTAAAGGAGCAGCTCCGCTCCTCTACAGTCTGGTTCAGATGTTTTCCATGATGGATGTAAGCTTTGACAGCAACCAAGCATGTAAAGGATGTATGGAAACTTAAAATCTAATGTTCAGTTTTGGTCATCTGAGCTGAACTTGGAACTTTAAGAGTTTAGTCTGATTAAATGTCAAACACTGAGGAGAAAAAAACGATTATGTGTCTTTAAAACACCTTTTAGTGGCAAACATTATGCTGATAATAGCAAGAAAGTGCAATCTGACCAAAGAATTTAATTAACAATAAAATCTGATCCTGCAAGGAAAACAAAAGAAAACAAAAAAAATTAAATAAAAAATACATTCTGTTACAAACAAACTGGGGAAAAAACATATTTTTCTTTACTTTTACTCATCTTTATTTTCAATCTCTCGAAAGTTCAGAGTTTGTAAACCAAATCGCAGATGACAGAATAAATCTCACCTGACTGGTTCTATCTTTCCATATCTGGACAAACCTCAGGACTTCCCGGTTGTCCACCTGATGCAGTTTATTAACGCTACAGTTTTGCTGACAGTCGCTTTCAGATCCAGATGAAAAGCCCATTTGATTGACATCCGTGTCCACCAATGGGGTGGAGGACGTGTCCCCTCAGCCAATCAGACAGCGCTCTGAAAAGGCGTCTTATCTGCCGTCTTCATGAAGTAAAGCAGATTAAACACTGAAGAAGAAAGAGTTTATCCTGTCCTATTCAGGCCAGCAAAAGTTTCTTATCTTTTATAATGTACTTATTTAATGAATGAATGAAACCCTGACATAAATCAATACAGTCTGTGTTTTTAATTTGAGATGTATTACTAATAAAGCTAGAAATGATTGCATCGGTTAAGATGTAAAACTAAACCGGTAACATGGTTCATATTAGACAGCGTATCATGGAGAACGGAGGGCGCATAATTCTGCCATTTAAGGCTATGGCTGCGTCTCAATTCGCAGGCTGTCACCACGCGGAACCATTTATTGATAGTCCGGTTATCCCCGGACTTGTTTTGAAAGCGTACCCGTCATGGCCGCGTCCAACAGATCATGCCTTCAGTATCTATTCCATCTTGCTCACGATAATCTAGAATTTAGATTGCCGGTAACGCTTTTTTCCCACATACAAATGTCTGTTTATCTTCTGTATTTAATTTTACGACTTAAATCAATATGATTTAATTCACTCTTGTTGTAAAATGTTAGCTAAATGCTAATGTAAACGTTCCGCTTCACCTTTTAAATAAATCGGAATGTGGGAACTGTAGATGATAACACTTCAGTTGTTTGTTTTTTTCCCCCTGACCTGAATACTTTGAGTTAATCGATTCATTCTTGTTCATAAACTTCCTTTCCATACAGTCAGAATTACTCTGTAACATCTTGGAAACGTTTTGTTGAATCTGTTGATATGAATTTAATTGATCATTTTACTAGTTTCTTCGTCAAGTTTCATTGAAGGTAAAGCACAACGTTAACAATGTAGAATTTATATCAGGTTCAAGGGAAGACTTGAAAAGTTTCCTGAGGGTTTATTTATACCTGTACTGCCTAAACATCAGTGAACCTACAAGTAACATTACATTAGTTTAACTTCACAGTACCACATTTGGGGTCCCTTTAGAGGTTTTTCCTCAGTATTAATTCATATGTTAAGTTTTAACACTCAGGGGAAACACCCTGAAGGATTCATGAAAGTAACAACAGCACTTACTACTTCTCAAAGCCTGCTGCACCCTAAATGCACCAGTGTATCACAGATCATTCCTCTCAGCAGCTGGAAGACTTTATATCTACCACTGTTTTTTCACAGTTTCTGTCTTAGGCAGTTAAATAACATGCTGCTGTCATTTTGCACATCTAATGTTGCTGCCATTTTTTACATATCCATTACTGTAAAAATAACCACAGTTGTTTGATTATTTACTCTCCAGATACAGAGCATTTATATTGTATAAACACTGTACAGTACAGTACTTATTTGTTATTTTCCTTACTCTGCTACCTATTCTGTTATTTTTATACACTTTCTAAGGTCCTCGTTGTGTTACCACTTCTGCTGTAACCTTTTGGTGCTGTATCAACAAAAGTTCCTCGTTGTTGGACAATAAAGGGATTTTCTATTCTATTCCAAAGAAAACAACCTGGGGGTAGAATTTGTTCAAAGAAGGGCATCTGAGAAGCTTTACAGAACAGTTTAAAGGTTCCCCAAATGTTATTTAGAACTTCTATGATGTAAACTTGAGGGATTTTTTTTTTTTTCCTGTCATAATGTTCTTTTCTATGTCTATATTGTGGTCTGCCTCTGAGGATTCATGTTAAAGCAATAAAGTCCTGATGTGTTCTTATTATATGTCCTGATTCTTACAGGAAATTAAGGCTCTTCTTGCTCTCAGGTCAAAACCATTCCATCCTTGTGTAAACTTCAAAGAACAGGTCAGATTTCACTATGTGCACTTTTTTTTTCCTCCATCTGATTTGTCTGTTTGAGTTAACAGGTGGTTTGATAGCACTTAGATCAGAATATCTTTTTCACTGTCCTATCTACTTCCTCATGATCAAAGCCCTTCTTTGTTCTTTTTAGTCTCCTTTCTGGTGCTTGGAAGGTTTGTCTGTGGAAGATGTTTGCAGCGTTATGGACAGATCTGTTTGTGCAAAGTAAGTGTGTCATTTCTGGTGAAAGACATCCACAAATGGGGTTGGAAAAAAAGTGTGACTTCCATCTTGTCCTTTCAGGTCTGCTTTTGAACTCTGGGGCCATGGACAATCACACAGTGAACTCAGGACATCCCTGTTAAGCTACCCACAAGAGAAAATGGTGTGTAAGCTTCGTGTGTAGAGCACAGTTTACCTCAAGTGAATTCCAACTCTAATGTCCTTTATCCTCCATTATTGCCCTACAGAGTCCGTACATGCAGAAAGGCTCTTCATACAAAATAAATGTCTACACATTTAACAAAACCTTGCTGTTTGAAGAAAGAATTAAAAAGATTGATGTGAGTATTGAAACAGTGGTGGAAGTGTTAGTGTCTTTGTCTGTGGGTAAAAAATCTTACTCTGTTTACCAGGCCATGGATTACCTTCCATTTCAAGGCACAGTGAACCTAAAGAACCCCCAGTTCACCTTCTGTTTGTTGGAGGATTATGGTACAGACCCCAACAATATCCCCGAGCTTCCAAACTACGTCTACTTTGGCAGATTGGTGAGATATAACACCCCCCACAAAAGCATCCATCCCTTTCCTCCTGTCATTTTTCGGCTATAAAACTCCATTACATATTTTTCTTTTTAGAGAAAGGAAAATTAAAAAATAGGTTTTTCGGTTTCAAATAGGTGATGTAAAAAGTGTGGCGTACAAATGTTTCCATTTGTATTTAGGTTCTCAGAATACTAATACTTCTAACTCTATATGTATACAAAACTATATGCCATTATTGATACCATGTGAGTAAAAAAAATTATGTAGTTAATGGGGTTAAGATTTTTTTTATTAACCTGAAAATCTCTCCTTTTTCAATCTCAATATGTAAAATGTTTTTTTTTTCAACAGGATTGCATATGCTAGTTGTATAAGAGTGCAAATAAATGTAAAATTAATAACCTAAACATAAATTAAACAACAGCAAACATATGCAAACATAACCTTTTTTTCAGTTTGTAGTTTTGGATACCGTTTATGCTCATCGTCCTACTGGAAGCTGAATTCCCACTCCGTCCTCAGATTCGAGTTAAAACCTCATACAAGTTTAATTGTGCTGCATCCCTGTATGCAGTTCCCTTCAGCCTGGTTTATGCTTGACGCATTCGCGAGGGACACTTTGCAATGTTACTTTATCTCTGGCTTCCACACCCCTCTTCGCGGCACCCGTGCAGACAGAATTATCGCTCTGCGCACCTAGCAAATTACCAGCTGTGCACACAGATCTGCATAGAAAAAAAAGGTGACCAGGCAACAGCTCCAACTGCCAAGGGTTGGCAAATGTATCCAACTAGAGAAATCCTGTGATATTAAGCCTATAAATATCTATCCAGAACCCGCTATCAACAGATTGTGGAAAAACTCCTGTAAAGAAATGAAAATCACTCTCAGATGGCATGAAGATGCTTTGATAAAGTTGTAAACGGCTGTATTTTCTAGTGCTTCATGTACTGTGGTGTAGTCAGCCCCCCTGGAGCTGTCCTGAATGGGGAAAAAGCCCCAGAGAGTATAAAAGTTACACGCCTTGACAGGCGGCTTATTTTCTGCAAAGATTTTACATGTGTCAAGCATAATTCAACCTTTCATCTTCACGTCAACTCTGCATAGTTTTCTTGTCACAACTGAAGGAATCCTTGCACCCTTGTAGCATAATGCTGCCACCAGATGTTGTGCTGTTTCAGTTTTGTGTTTTTTGTTAAATAAACAAATCTTTGCTAGTAGGCCACAATCCACAGTTTTAGGCCAATTGATTTATTTTTATTTTAGACTAGATGTATCAGAGCAAAAGGTGCTAAAAACAACTGCATCTCTTTCAGATTTATTATAGCAACCTTTTACGCTACTTAGTTCAGTCTCTGACATTAATGTATATACATTAAAATGAAGAAATCAATGGGTTCAAAGGTGTTGTAGACTGCATTAAGATGTGGGGTAATGGGATTTGTTTTTAATACCCAGATAGCAGACGGTCAGCGGGAACTGATTCGCTCCTACAGTGTGAAGAACAGACATTTCATCGGAAACACCAGCATGGATGCCGGCCTATCATTCATTATGGCCAACCATGCTATGGTCAAAGAGAACGACCTGGTTTTTGACCCATTTGTAGGCACAGGTAGGTTCATCTTGGATTTACTTATAAAAATGATTTTATTTGCTCTTAAATCCCTGAATGGTTTCGCCCCGTTGTGCCTCTCTGAGCTTCTACATCCTTACACACCTGCTCGCTCTCTCAGGTCAGCTGGTCCTGAGAGAGCCTCAAACTAAGCAGAAGCTCAGAGGTGACCGTGCTTTTGCTGTTGCAGCTTCAAATCTCTGGAATTACCTACCTCAGCAAATCAGACAGGCCACTTCTCTGACTGTTTTTAAATCTTTTATCAAAACCCTCCTTTTCACTTTGGCTTTTGACACCGAGCAAGACAGTGGGCTTTATTTGATTCTTTTTATCTTTTACCCAGTTTTATTGTTTTGATTATGTGACTGCTTTTACTCATGTTTTAGCGGTTTTGACTTTAATCTGTAATGTTTTATGTTTAATTTATTTTCCGGTACAGCACGTTTGTCAGCTGTGGTTGTTTATAAGTGCTTAACAAATAAGATTGGGTTGGATAAACATCTTTGGAGAGTGATTTTTATCAGGAACATGTTCTCACTGTTTGTCTCATCTGGTCTCAGGCAGCTTGTTGGTATCATGTTCTCATTTTGGAGCATATGTGTGTGGAACAGACATTGACTACAACACCATTCATGGAAAAGGTTCGTCTCTCTCAGCTGCAGATATTGTGCCTCCTGACTGCAAAAACAGTCCAAAAATAAGTACAAATTTCTTAAATTAAGTGTATTTACCATAATTTGAGTAGGTAAATAAGATGATTTGCCAATGGAATAATTATTCTTTACTTTTAAAATAAGATACCGTAATTAGGTAATATGCACTTGAAATAAGACAATGCAATTGTTTTTTTAATATTTTAAATATAAATTGTCTTGTTCTATTGGAAAAATGTTGCATTTACCTCCTCAATTCAAGAAAAAAACACATAAGAAAATTACTTATTTATATTTACATTTTTTGCAGAGAAAATGTTAAGTGTATTCATATAGTTTTGGTTCTTTGCCGTAGGTCGCTCCAGTCGTAAAAACCAGAAGTGGCGAGGTCCGGATGAGAACATCAGAGCCAACCTGCGGCAGTACGGAACAGAGAGCATGTATGTGGACGTGATGGTGTCTGATGCATCCAAGCCGGTGTGGAGGAATGCTGCTCTGTTTGACGCCATCATTACAGACCGTAGGTTTTCAGTTCGTTCTCTGAAATAACCAAACAAAGATGGCAGAAGATGTGAAGTCACTGGGTGTAATTCAGGAAGGAATAGGTTGAACAAATCAAGTGGGTGGAAATTAGGGCTTCAACTAAGGATTATTTTGCAAATAGATTAATCTGTTGTTTGTTTTTCCAATTAATCGATTAAAATGTTAACAGATTAAAAAAAAACAAAAACAATTTTGGTATAATTGCTGCTCTAAGTGGGTCGCTCTGTCACCTTAAGGCATGTTTTAGAGTCTCTACACTCTAGTTAACAATTAATCAATTACTAAATTAGTTGATGATTATTTCCATAATTGATTAATTACCATTGATCCGATTAATTGTTTTAGCCCTAGTGGAAAGGTCTACTAGCTGCCTTTAGCCTCTTTAGTTTGCATCTTTTTGAGATTGTGGTGTGTTTCTGCACGCAGTTAAAAAAATACTTCTTTTTGTTCTTGTTGTTGTTGTGGAGTCCTGACCTACGCTGCATCATTAATGTGCTGCATTTAATAGTGTCTCTGAATTCTTCCAGCAAGCGAGCAGCCAGCCATCAGACATTTTAAACAATTTATTATTTGTAAAAAGTTTAAAACAGAAAACTCCCACTTTCACAGTAGAGGTTAACTAGACCTTTAATGAATAATCTGAACATTTTAAAGAAAGAAATTAAAATCCTTTGGCCTCTTTGGAAAAACTGAAATCCGTCATTGGGTCAACGTGGATGTTGCTCCTTCTTGGAAGATATTCTATGGTTTTAAAAATCTAGCAGATAATTTTAAAGATTTTGCACGTTGTTCTTAACCATAGGTGTCAAACTCGAGGCTTGCGGGCCAGATATCGCAAAAAATATTTTTATATCATAAAATAGAGGCATATTTTCCTTTAAAGTGTCTAAAAATACTGAAACGCCTACATACATGGGAGTACAGTTATAATACCAGAGCAGCATGCTTTTGGTGATTTAGCAAAATGTTTGTTTAATATTTAAACATGCAACAAACACATTTGAAAGATGTATAACACAAAAGGGGCCCAATATAAGACTGAGTTTTTCACCCTTTTTTTTTCTTCATTAAAATATGTCCTAAAATGTTTTTATCATGCTTTTTTTTTTTTTTTTTCTTTTTAGCTCCATATGGCATCCGAGAGTCAACGAGAAGAACTGGCTCCCATAAGGACACAATTAAATCCCCCGATGGCTCGTAAGTCGCACTGAGATTCCACACCATTATGCTGGAAAAAGGTTGACTTAAAAATCTCCATCTTATATGACAAAGTCATTTCTTTTTAAAGTTTTCTGAACCTTTTTTCTCTTTAATCTCTTCCACAGATACCCAGAGTCCCACGTACCTGTCTCGCAGGCGTACCACCTGAGTGACATCTTTACAGATCTGTTAAACTTCTCTGCCCACCACCTCGTCTTGGGTGGGAGGCTTGTCTATTGGTTGCCTGTATACAGGCCAGAGTGAGTAAACATACATCCTTATAATGAGAAACAGTCATTTCCAATGTGTGGTATAACCCACAGAAAGGCAAAAGCCATTTGAACTGTCTGTGTTTATAGAACACCTTTTGTACAGAAAGAGGGCGATCCAAACCTTTACATAAGAGAAGCGCTGGAGGCAACGAGAAACGCAAACAATAAACAGAAACCTACAAACCAGAGTTTCTACTATTCTTAAAATAATGAAAACAATTTCTAATCTACGACAAAAACATGAAAAACTGCTACATGTATTTGAGGTTACTGCTCTGCCTTCATACAGTTTGTACTCTTCTAGGAAGGACTTTTTTGTATATGTGTTTATTGGGATTTTATGACCATTTTCTCTGGTGCTTATCTGTAAGGTTTTTCTATCAAAGAAAACCAGTTGATTGCTTAAACTTATTGACTCGAAGGCAATTCCTCACTGCAAGAATGCTTGTAGGGACAGTGGAGAGGAAAAACTCCCTTTTAACAGGAAGAAACCTCCAGAAGAACCAGGCTCAGTGTGAGCGGCCATCTGCCGAGGCCGACTGGGGTTCAAGGAGACAGAAGCAGACATAGAAAAAGTTGAGTTGCAGTTAAGTTGAACAGGCAAGTCAGTAGTCCTCTCATTCATGTCTTTATGCTTTTTTTTTTTTTTACACGCGTGGTCAGCCATGTTAGAAACTTAGGGAGCCTTTACAAAACTGTTTTATTAAAGGATGGGAGGATGAAGTTGTTTAAAATGTCTTGGTATCTGGAAGCCCTTAATTGAAAACAACCTATCACTGTATTTCCCTCTGCATCAAACTGCACTGGTTATAAACCCAGACTCCTTCATTTCATAGCCAAGTATGGATGATTCATCAGCCCAGAGAACACAAACCCACTGCTCAGCAGCATTTGTAAAGACCAAAACACACCCGACAAAACACACCCGACAAAACACAACCGACATGACCAATGTGCATCTGCTACCAGCTACACCTTTTAATTTTCAGCCTCTATGATGAGATGTCTCCTTCACAGACTCGCAGTCTCAGGTCCATTTCTACATGTACTAAAGCTAACATCTTACTGTATGAAATTATGCCCTTTTTTTGAATTATTGATAACCTGGGTAAATAAAAAAACTTTTTCATTTATTAAAGTAATTTTACAGCTTAAAAGTAACACACAGTAATTCAATGTAAGTTTATTCCACATATCACCAACCCACAAGTTTGCAATGTGCAAAGAGTCACGTTTAAGGGACTCTGTAAAGCATGGCAGTTTTCTTTTAGTGATCATACCATTTAGGTACTTTTTAAAGCCAACTTAAGCCACCTTAAATTAAATTCATTTCTAAAAACATTTCATTGATCCCAAAGTAGATGAAATAGCAGAGCTAAGCCAACATTCAGCCTCTCTTAATTGTAGAAATTGTTTCTAAGAGGATCTATCTACCATCTCAGATGTTAGTAATAACTTATACCAATAGGGGGCAGTGTCACACCATAAACCTTAGCTGCTTTATTCGTTCTTTTTTTTTAAAGAAAGTTTACCCTGTTCATTTTCCCCTTCATCTTACAGCTAATTAAAATGTTACATACGGTTTAAATCAAAGCTAAATAGAAAGCACACTTGGGCTGTTTCACAAAGCCCTTTTCTTAATTTGTACCTGTTTAGTTTTCTCAGTGCACCCTTTGTTGCAGTCACGCTTTCCCTCAAATCGCCTTTAGAAAACCACCTGTGTAAATGACAGTGTTAGTACAAGATAATGTACAGGTGTGTTGAGGTGTTTCTAGCGAAACAGCTGGGCCTCAGTTAACCACAACTGACACTACTGAGCTGCTTTACAGGTTGCCTGTGCAAGATGGCTCCTCTGAAACAAAGTCCATCATTGTTAAAAGCTCTGTGCAATGTCAGCGGGAAGAAGTGCAGGTGTTTGGCTGGTAAGGTGTGAACCACAACAGACTGAGGCATAAATGGACCTTATAGGGAAAGGGAAACCCCAAAGAGCTGCAGATCCTTCTGAGCACTGATTACAAGCTTTTGAAGGAGATAAGATAATCATGCATCATGTAGTTTATGATCGGAGTTTGGAAGAGGAAGGGAGCACACAGAGCCGCAGTCATAAAAGCCCTTTGCTTACCCAGTATATATTTTTATACATGCGCAAGCGTGTGTGGTCTTGCATTGGAGCTTATGTTTGTGCCATCATGTTCACACGTCATCCCATGGGTCCTCAGGAACCGGGGCTGTGCCAAAATAAACATGTGAGGCTGGGCAGGCAGGGCAGATATATGAATTATCTGCCTCTATGGTCTGCAGGCTGACCTTTGTGTTTTGTGAATGTTTGTGTCTGTGTGTGTGTAAGCCCAGACGTGGTCTGTCTCTTGGGCCTAATCTGGGGCCATATCAGGTTTCAATCACCCACCGACCAAAATATGAAAGAACGGCTGCTTCAATAAGGTGCTTGTTAGTGTGGCATGTGTGTGTGTGAGGGGGGTTTGGAGTGTGTGTGTGTCGGATGACAGGTGACACAAAGTCCTTTCACCAAAAGACAGTGTCTAGACTATGTTGAACTGCTTTAACTTGACTCCGTTCTTGCTCTTGAAAAATACATTCAGCGTAATGATGGAGATGGATGACATTGCATCAGTCATCCCTGCCATAAAGTTACTCAACTGCAGCATAAACAAGTGATGCATAGATATAAATGGTGCATTGTTCAGAGAACGCCAATGCTGTGAAGTTTGATGTTTTGTTTATTTGTTTCTTTTTTTCGATGATCGGTTTTTGGCCTTCGAAGTCATACATGACAAATCCTTCAACATATATTTTACATCACTGGGATACAGGTCAAAGCATAAGTCCCTTTCTAGATGAGCAATGCCAGAAAGTCTTCAGGATTTCCAATGTTTTCAAACTAAACTAGATATCAAGAAATCTTGAAACCAAATTGAAGGTAAACATGACTGCACTCCTTGTTCTTACTAATAAGATGTTCTTTTCTAGCTCTCCCTGTTAAAATGCTACTAATATGGGTTTTGCATTTGCAACAAGATGTACTGTGGTGCCATTAGTATTTCCTCATCTACCGTAACTCAAATATAACTTAAGTGAAATCCCCTTTTAATCTATAGAGTTCAATATAACATTGGTCAAACCTTTGCAGCTATAGCAGCTTCAACTCATCCTGGAAGGTCCACATGGTTAGGACCATAGGAGTGTTTAAAGGATTTATTTTGACCATTCTTCAAACAAGCAATTTGTAAAGTGGTAAACCCACGTCGGACGAGAAGGCCTGGCTCTCAGTTCTCGTTTTCATTCAGCCCCAAAAAAAATTCTATCAGGTTGAGGTGAAATCCGGTCAAGCTCATCCACACAAAACTCTCTCATCCATGTCTTTACAGGCCTTGCTTTGTATACTGGTGTACAGTCATGTCGAAAGAGAAGGGTGGGCATCTCCAAACTGTTCCAACAAAGTTGACAGCATGAAACTGTTCAAAAGCTCTCTGTAGTTGAAGTTTTTAGAGATTCTTCCACTGATCTAAGTGACCAAGCACAGCTCTTGAAAACTGCTTCAGAGTCCTCTAGATGGTCTGGATGCAGCTAGAACCCATTTCATGCACCTTTCCCCTGCACTGAAGGCCACATGAAGTGTAAAAGTCCCCATCGTTTTACCTGGCCTACAACTTTGTTGACCTGCCTGCCTGCCTGTCTTATAATAATACTTCGTACAGTTGTTTTTTAGCCGTGTCGCACAGGTGGCCTCCATTTACATGACTATGCAGGAATTCGCTGAGCTCCTGAGAATGACTTATTGCCTCACATATATAAAGACTGTATGTTCGGGTTGTTGTTTTTATACACCTGTGGCCAGTGGAGGTGTCTGGAACACCATATAATTATTTTTTCATTTATTTCAGTAGGTGACCAATACTTTTGGCAACATAGTGCATTTCCTCACCTTTTATAGAGGTTTCTCTTTAAAAGTTTGCGGCTTCTGCTCTTCCATCACTGATTTTAACCTTCCTGTGTAGGAGGAAACACCATCTGGACTTAAATAATAAGATTAGCAGCAGCAGGGGGTTTTCTTAAAAGCATGCGGCCTTGAACAATGAATAAAATCTAGTGCAACTTTCTTTGAGCAAATGATTGTATGTGCATTCTAAAAGAAATGGGTAAGAAAGCTGTATTTTTTTTTTCTGAATACATTAAGTTTAGAATTTGTTATCTGGAACTGCCTTGTTTAAAAGATGGGAGTAAATGGTTGCATTGAAAGCCTTTAGGCAACTACTTGCACTTCTTACTCTGCTGCTTCCTTATAAATGCTTGGGGTTCTTTTGTTACCATCAGATTTTAAGAAGGTTGTAAGTAGTACGAAAAAGCAAAGCAAAAGAAAAAAGCTTTATAACAAGCCTGTTTTTACAAATTGAAATAAATGAGGCTGCTGATCATCTAATTGTTTCTAAAAAAAACTGAAAACATAAATCTAAGTGTCAAATGAAGACTCAGTGATAAGTAGCTCAATTGTTCTTGTTCATCACAGTCATTAATGCATGTTTGTTACCATAGGTTTAGAGGATTCTAAGGACCGTATCTCCGTCCACTGTTTGGAATAGGTCTGTTTTTGTAAACTTTTCTTTCCCAATCATCCCCAGTTGTTCTAAATGGGATTTAAATCAGGATTGTCCAAAAGACTGATATTATTTCCCAGGAAGAAGTCTGGTTTCAGCCAGGTGTAGTGGCTTTGCCTTGTTGCAAACCCAGTAATCATCAGACAGGCGATGGCCCTCAGTGTGGAGCAAGGCCTCCTGATCCACCTTCATAGCCAGCTGCTGTTTGACGCCCCTATGCAACCTGAAGCTCTACTGTTCATCTAAAATCAGCCACCCAAATCATGCCAATAGCCTTTGAAGCCATGGGGACCATCAAGGTTACATTTTTACAACTTTCTTCCACCTTTCAGTGACCCATATTTGGTTCTCCTTTGCAAAACAATAAACAAGCAATTTTTTTTTATGCAATTAAAGGAGATGTGGACTTTTACAACATGTATTTTCATTTTGTAAGTGCTTACTTCAAAGATGCTAAAGCCCCAGTAATGTCCCGCATTTGGGTCTAGTATTGTCCTATGTGTTGATGGACCGCCAAGCCTGGACTGTGGGAAATTTAAGCTAAAATAACATGAAATCCACATTTTAGCTTTTAATTGCTTTGGACTTGAATTCAGCTGATGAACAGCCTCTTGCAGTTAAATTGATGTTTTCAATACATTGCTTATTTTTCTGTTACAGTGTCTCCCTGCATCTCAGAGAAAAGATGTGCCACTAATCCTGAATAAACTCCCAGGAAAAAAATAGCTTTAAATTGAACTTAAAAACATATTTGGTTAATGTGGCCTAGGCTATGCTATCCGGGGCTGCAACTAACGATTATTTTTCAAATTGATTTTGATTTTTTTTTTTTGATTAATCCAATAATAACCGGGTTGCCAAAGGTTCCTTAAAGAAGATTTTTTTTAAGAGTTCTGGATAGAGCATATTGACAGAAAAATAAAACATTTTTTTACTCTTAAAGCAAAATCTTTATTATTTTTTTTATAATTTTGGTATAAATGCTTCTCAAGGTGGGTCACTCTGTCAGCTAAAGACACATTTTAGAGTCTTTACAATCCAGTTAACAATCGATTAAAAAGTTAGTTGACGATTTTAATTAAATTATCTATTAATCTAGATTTTTCTGATCAACAGTTTCATCTATAATCTAAATATAATTTAAGTTATCTGTCCACCTTTGCTTTTATTTTGATCAATCATTTGATCATTTTCTTATATAATCATCCTATTTTAAGGATTCACTTGTATTATCTTTCATTTCTGTGTTACCTTTATTCCACTGCAGTGTGCTTTTGTTTTTACTTTTCCCTATGAACAGCAGTTTCAATTGTCTTGCTACTGAAATGTGATGTATAAATAAACTAGCCCTTTACAGCCTTGTGGGGTTAAACCCGCTCTTCCCTCACTCAGAGAACTCACACCAGTTATGTCGGACTCCTCACTTCACTCTGGCTTTTTTTGATTGGCAGGACTGAATTACACTTTGGTCGCATCACCAGCAGTTCCCATAGCAACCAAACATCCCATCACTGGCAGTCCCACATGTGGCCAAGGCAAACAGTGACGTTAAAGTCTGGCTTGGAATTGTCAGGGCTGTCGCTACGCCGGTGGCGGCGTGGCGAACGTGCTACTGACACAAATATGCAAACACATACATCATCCTCGGTTAATAGGCCTTAACGTGGACTCGCCTGGTGATGATGGAGCAAGCAGTCAACCTGTCAGCTTAGATTCACTTTTTCCATCTTCTTCTTTGCACCCAAGAAAGTTTCATAAACCGTGATCTCACTGCGCGGCTACAGCAGATGGTGTTTATTAGAGAAAGAGAGCAACACAGAGAAAACAGAACCTTGCGATGAACCGTTTTACGAGTTGAATAATCTAAACATTTGTACTCATTAGGTTTAAATTCACATAATTTATAATCCTGATGAAATTTTTCCACTTTGTCATTTTTCTATTGCCTTGTCGGAGGATGAGCACCTTGCTGACTGTGTCTGTTTGATTCGTTTTGCAGGTACTGCGAGGAGATGGTTCCCCTTCATCCTTGTCTTCGACTTATCAGCAACTGCGAGCAGATGCTTTCCAGCCACACATCACGACGACTAATCACCATGGAAAAAATCAAAGAGCCAGAGGTAATCATGGCAGGATCTGACTTGTTTTTGTTTTTTATTTACAAAACTCTTTGTTGGTTAAAGCAAATAAAATTAAATAGTCAAGTTCCATATTTTCTGACCCTGTTAAACCTCTGCAGGTCAGTTTGACTTTGCTTGTGTTGTTAAATACTTTATGAGTTTGAAAAATCTAACATTAATTTAATTTGATTTGGGTTGTAAAATCCATGTAACGTTACAAACTATTCCCCCTTTATATTGATATGACCTCTGTTTGGAGCGATTCCCACAGCATGTCGGATGACGACGCTTCAAAAGCTAAAAAAAAAAGCGCTGGTCGTGTTCGAAGTACGAGCCGTTTGTTTTGCTGTCCGAGGAGGAGGAGTCGGGTGTATCACATGATTGGTTGACGTCAGCTACGCGTCCTCTATGGTCTAACTTTGAAATGGTTGGTCCAAAACATCTGGTGGTAGAAGCATCTGAAAAAAGGTTAGATGTTGTTGCTCCAAGTCACCGTTTTCTAAAAAGTGAATACGTAATGATGAACACGCAGTCAGATTACTTGGATAATCCATTAAACCATAAAAATATTGAAGTAGTTGAATAAGAAAGCACAGAAACCGCTCTGACATAGTTTCTATTTTCTATTTCTGTATTATTTTTTTCTTTTTCATTCCTTTACAATCATATTATTGGTTAGTGCCATGCTGTGAGCAGCAGAAATGTTTGATATATGTGTGTGCGCGTTTGTGCTTGAACAGCGACACGTGTACGTAAAGTGAAAACATGTGTGTGCCATCCTGTTCCTTAATGCATTCATTGTATTTTATCGAAGTGTTATGCATGTGTAACCATGTAAGTATGTTCTGAGTAAGCATATGTAGTATGTGTGTTTGTTTTTACATGACATCCCACTGGAAGTGATGGTGTCTGTATTTCTGTCTGCTGTAAATGCTTCGCCATCTGGCTGTGATTGGCTCCTTTCTTTTATACTGAAACCCCTAAATGGCTTAATCACACATCGTATGGAAAACAATCCGTCTTTGGATCTGACATCCAGTCCACTGCAAAACCCACAAAATTGCTCCCATAAACGGCGCTGTATAACGTGCACATACAAACACAAAGTTGTGTGATGTTATCTGACTGGTATCTGTCTCAGGTTGCATTTTTCTTTTCTTTCCAAATGGGTTTCAGAAAGCTTCCATTTGCTCGCTTTAATCAGGCTTCCCAGTTTGATGTTTCCCGAGCAAATGTTTGCTCCACTTTGACGTGCGTGTGTTGGTTATTGTTTCTGACTTTCTATGGAATATGACGTAGCGGTATTGCTTTTAACGTATGATGTCTATCAGAAAAAGCTCTCGTTTCATTTAGAAATGCTGGATCCAGTGCTTTGTCAGGTTGCGATTCAGACTCTATATCCACATTTAAACATATCTGCTAATTAGTCATTTTTTATCAAGAGTTTAGAGTGTCCTTGAATGCCAAAATTCAGGGGTGAATAATCAAAAATATTAATTAGGGATACATGGATTTCAGTTCTCTGGCTGATTGCCGACGTTTAAAAACCTTGCCTGCCTATTTTTCTTATTTATACTTTTTTTTAACTATAAAAACTCTTTTTTTATTGTCTGTTGTATTTTTTTGTCCTTAATGGCATATTGCTTTAACTCTTTGTACTCTATATAAGCTACTGGAACAAGAATTTCCCTGAAAGAGTAATCCCAAGGGATAAAGTGGAGTAAAGTCTAAGTCTGCCAATGCTGATGTTTTTTTTCACACATACAGCATGAAAAATCTCTAACAATGTTAATGAAACAATAAACTTGTTTGAAATGAACAGAAAGGCTGTGCTTTTAAGTATAATTAACTCTTTGAAGCATTGAAAGATTTTCTGAACCTTGGAGGAAAATGAGATCCAGTGATAAGTTCAGTTTCACCTAAAACATCTCTGATCGCTGGAAATTAAAGGTATAGTGGAGGATGTTCTTTTTCCGGGTGTATCGTCAAAATAAGAGGTCCTCCTTATTGTCAATCATTCTGGTGTTATGTGCTCGCAAGGGTTTAATAGGCGTTCCCTCCGAGAGCGGGTGCAGGGTTGTGCATTTCCATTTTTTTTAAAGGAATCTTGTATAGTATGCCTTTAAGGAAATTGGAGCTGATTGATTAGTTTCACCCTAGTTGACATTAAGTGAGACGCGGGGGGGGGAGTTTAAAAAAGGCTTCTTCCACTGTCTCTTAAAAGTGTAAAACATTGATAAAATTATTCATCCCCTGAGAAAAACTGATTTAAATTCCAGTTGCAGCTTTTCTGCACCGAATGACTAACTCTATAGTGAGCAGAGGTGACATCCCCATGTGTGTAATGTTCAGAGAAGTAAGTCTAAAAATCTTGCTTTAAGAGAAGTTTATTATTTCAGTAAAAAAGAAAATACAAATACATGATGTAGAAATTTACCTCTATCAGTCTTTACCTCTGTGAGCAGTTAGCACTGTACACAATGAGGACTTCCAGAGATTTCAATATAATATGATGCTAAATTATTGTTACAAAATTAAAGGGACAATAAAAGTTTGTTTCAATCCACTTTTTCATCAGTCGTCTCTTATGGAGCTGATCTTCCCACTGTGCGACTTTAAGCATCTTTGGCACTTAAACCTGTCTGTTGCATTCAATAAGACTTTATCCATGCAGATGCTTAAATATAAAACATGAATGCAAGATATTAAGTCAGTCGCTACTTTCCAATCAGTTCTGTGAAACATTATTATTGTGCACACTGTTTATGGGTGATATGTTTGGTATATATCGTGCAACTGCAGCCATGTTTGTTTATCTCACAGAGAAGGTACTTCAGCATTACTCTCCCAATTGCTATACGTTGGATTCATGTCTTTTCACTTATCTAATACTTGTGGTGTTTGTTAGAAATCAATCCGTAATTGCTGCTGGTTTCTAGTTTTACACACCATCAGAGAGCCATTGCTTTGCATCATTTTATGTTACTGGGAAGTTCTTGCCATGAATAAGCAACAATAGGAACCTAATGGCTGGTATTGAAATGACAATTAATTTAGACCAACAAATACCATCTTTTCTAACTCTTTTTTTTCTTTTTTTTTTTGTATTCCCTCATCTCTTCACTGATCTTTCGAATTTAAGCTTCAATTTTAGTGATATTGTTTAAAAATAAAAAATTTTTTATACCATTTTAACCTTTTTTTTATCCTCCCTTTAGTTTCATAAAAAGAAATTTCAGAAATGACAGAAACTCACTCTTGTTTCAATAGTCCTCTCTGGGAGTTAAATTAAATTCAAAGTGGAACTAAATCCAAGCTATCAAAAGTGCTTGAAACAATAAATATGTAACGCAAATATTTACAGGGAGTGGCATCACACAATCATTTAATCAGCTTTGAATATACGCCTAAGATCAGGAGGTGACAGGTTGACGTCTATCGGAACTATAGAGGACTGAGGAACTGGTGAAATAAATTCAGATTGTCCAATGACTAATGCTTCATCAAATGCAGATTCTATTCATTGATAATCTTTTTATTTTATTACCCTACCCTAATTCATTCATAATCAGGTTTGAGCTTCTGAATGTCTTATCTTCATGTTATAGAAGTAGTTTTTTAAGGTTGTTATTTTACAAATGTTTTGATTTTATAATTTTTTTTTAAATATGTTGAAATTAAGTTGTTTGTTTTATTTTTATGTTGGTGCCTTTTTGTAATAAAAGATACCATCTGAGCTCTTACAATGCTACAAAGCTATGGTGTTTAAAGGTCTTATATATACAGAGTGAATCCTGATTTTTACTGTTTTGTTTATAAAGAATAAGGAGGCAATGACAGAGCTAGTTATTTTTTATTTTTTTTTTTTGTGCAGGCTTCCCTTTAAGAACAAGAAGGGTTGTAAAATGGTGTGAAGATGTGCAGCAACAAAACCTTTTTTTTTCTTCATAAATTAAACCATGCAAAGATTTTCTGTTGTCTGCCAAAATAAGAGTGTGCTGTAAATTGAGCATAATATGGGCTCTTTAATTTGGGTTCATTGAGGGGTTGTTTCCTCTGCATGATCATGGAAAATGTTTCCAGGTTGCTTGGCAGCATCAGTAAGTAAACGAGAGGTGGTGCAAACATATTACAGCACTTCCAGCTCAACTCACCTCATTATTCCTCTTCCCTCTTCCTCCCCCGATGCCTCTGCACATCAGCAGCTAACGTCCAGCCAACACAAATGTCTTATTACGAGGAAACACTTGATGTGTGTTAGTCATGCAAACAGAATGTAAACATGGAAACTATACAAGATTCCTTTTTATTTTTAAGGCACAAACAAAAGTATCACCTGTAATATACATTTTTCATTACTTTATACAGTTTTGTTAAGTAACTGCATGAATTTAGGCGTAACTTCCAAGTGTTAAGCTCAATAACTCAGATATTGTTTCTTTCTACAGGAGCTGGACAGCCTGGCTCATCTTTCAGACCCCCACTTCAGCGGCTACCAAAAACACAACGCCTTCAGAGAGAAGTATTTTAGTGGACTAAACAAAAGGTCTGGCAAGGACGACACTAAAGCAGACGTCAGTGGAAAGTGAAGAAACAAAGGCCTTAAAATAACAAGCCATCTCTTTGAGTTTTCCAAAAGAAGTAGAAAATGTTGTTTAAACTTTCGCTGCTGTTGATCTTAAAGATTTTCCTATTGTTTGTACTACTTTGCTAATAAAAGCATAAAAACTTGTCCTTTTTATAATTAACCTATAAATATATATATAATGGATAAAAGTTAAAGATTTTGTAAATATAATTGATGAAAAAGCAATGTTTTTAGATGCTCAAAGAAATCATGACCTATCCTGGTGTAAGCTGTTCTGAAACGTAGAAATCTGATCTTTTTCCAGCGTTCTTAGGTGTAGATGCTTCATATGAGGCGTTTAAAATGATGCCAGAGGAAACGTAGGGAGATAAAAACCTATAAAAATGATGCTGCATGTCCAGTATATTCAGGCTCTGTGAAAACAAACAGAAAAAAGAGATCACATTAAGTTTGCTGTTACATTGTTTTATGCCTCTGAGATTTTAACCTCTACAAGTCATTAAATGGACTTAGTTCTTAAATGTTGGCATTTTCCAAATCTCAGTCTTAAGGGCTTGTTTTAATTATTTCAATAAGGCAGTAATTTATGAGAAAGCCACCCCTCTATGCAGCCATGACACCAAATTAAGGATCATCCATTCTTCTGGACTCCCCTACGGTTAGTTTGCACCTGTTATTATTTTAAAAGCTGTTCAGCGTGTTATAACTGCAGAAGAGAACAGCATTAACACCATCACTCTGTTTATCAGTGGGCTCTCTGTCTTTCAACTACGCTTCCTTTTTCACCTGTCCTCATAAGGAAAGTTCAAAGCACCATCACCATACCCAACTCACCATTATTTGTAGCACAAACCGTTTTATAGTTCCCACACCGGCGCTTTGTTGTCATCTTGTTAAATCCAATGTTACATAATCAGGCCTCCTTGGCCTTATCGGTTGCGTCATTGCCCACTTCATCTTAAAGAAAGTATCTCTGTTTCTGTATTTGTGCTGACACCCATTACTGATATAATAAGTCAGTCATCAAGAGCGCTCACTCTCCAATGGTGCAGATGATAATTAGGACAAGGGGATGTGTGTGGAGGGTGGGGGTCCTCTACACACATACTGCGTAATGCGGTCCAGACGTTGAGGAAACTCTGTTTGCAAATGTGTTTATACTCATGTGAGATCTGGTTTTATTTTGGACACAAGCAGATTTAGAGCAGTTTCCTGATGTCTTACAGTGATAATAAAGACATTTAAAGCCAATATGGTTGATATTAGTTCAAGCATGGGGCGGATTTAGGAAATTTGGGGCCCTAGGCAAAGACAGGCATGGGGCCCTTTGAAATGTGAAGACAACACATAAAACAGACCCATTATACAGATACAGACATTTTTATAAAATAGACATACATTATTTGTTGTACCTTTTGTTCCTCTCATCCCTTTTTGTTGCTGTTTTCATCTCTGTTTGCTTTTGTCCTTTTTTCTTTTCATAGTGGCAATGTGCACAGCTGACTTTTCATGCTGTCTCACAAGGAATGAAAGATTTATTTCCAATCACTAAGCCCATTATAACTTAGCTGATTGCTCCCTCTTCTATTTCCAAAAAGGCGAAAGCAAAAGTAAGTAACCCAGTCCTTCTTTTCACTATAGACAAGCCATGATCTGCTTCTCTGTTCTCAATTTTTCATTTAAATGAATTTATAGCTGCATGAATCATGACAGCACACAAGAAAGAGGAGAGCAGGAGGTAAGGTTACAAATGCTTGCTCTTGAGAGCAGAGTACGGTGCTTTTATATGTCGTCGCCAAAGCCTTCAATAACAGAAAAAAGTCACTAGATTTGGCGCTAAGCGCTTTTTTGAAAAAAAGTACTAGCGGGGTCTGAAAAGTCATTAAATATAACAACAAAAGCACTAAGTTGGCAACACTGCTCTTTCCCCCATTTGTTCGCAATGATTCGCTGCTGTTTATTTGGACTGATCCAATGTGGTGGACACTGAAGGGGACACACTTAATATTATAAGCATTTTGATGGCAAAACGAAAGGATTTTTTAATCAAAAACATAATGTGCACAAATAAATAATAGCTGTATTAACCATACATGTAAAAAGATTTTTTTGGGGCCCCCAGGAACTTGAGGCTTCAGGCAACTAATGGTAAATCCGCCCCTTTTTCAACCTTAACCATTAGTATGCTTGATTATTGCAAAAATGGCCTCTATTTAGTCCTGTTTCTATTTGTGTAGGGTTATGATCCAGTATTTACATCCAATCATTAATATTTATAATAATCACAATAGGTCAGCAGAAAATGTCAGTAAATATATATAGAATAAAACTTCTTGGGTTTTTTTCTTCTGTTTTTTATTTATCAAATTTTTTTATCTCCATGGTCCTTTTAAATACCTACAAAAATCCCCTGAAGATGAAAAATTAGATCATATAGATTTATTTTAAGGATAGTTTTATATTTACTTCCTTTCAAGATAATAAGGAATATTAGTTGGTGGTAGCTTTGCTCAAATGTTTTCATGGTTGTCTGGATGCTGAGGCACCGGGTCTCTCAGTCTAGCTGGGAAGGGACCCCGTTTGAGGACCCATTAGCCTGTGAGAACTTTGGGGGAGGCCCAACTCAGCATCTGCTTTTTATCAAAAAGAATAACAACAATACTCACTTTTACATGTCTTCAAGGTTGAGACTACGGGAGGTTGAGGTTCTGTGGAGCCCAATGCTAGAGTTTTATCACTTTAAGCCATGTGGCTTTAGGAGTTGACTCAACAAAGTTCAACCTGGTCTGGTGTAGGACATGATGACCTGTATGGAGCATTCGAATGAGTGTTTTTCACGAACACTTGGCTATGATGAAAAATGCCTGTATCAGTGATGTGTGTAAAGGCACATAATCAAGCATTGGGGTGTTTTTTTTTTTTAAAAAAACACTGCAGGACTATAAAAATCGTACATCTAAATGTAAAAAAGAATGCACAATAACATCAAAGTAGCAGTTTATAGACCCAGTTTATACAGTTTAAATGCAAAAAAAATTGATTTGGGAGTGATTTAGACTAGAATCCCGATTTATTCATTTCAAAACTTTTTTTATGTTTTCCCATCTTTTCAATGTTTCAACCATCTTTTTCAAATCGGTTACCAAGTCTTACATCAACATGGCCTTGAAGTGTACCCACCAAAAAAAAAAAAAAAAAGAAAAAACTGCTTTTATAGTTTGACAATACAACATTTGAGCTGTTCAGTCACAGGGATTAGAGGAATGTTGAATGACTCGATGTGAGGAGTTCTTATTCAGGTCCCAACTTCTTAACATGGTGATAGAAGTATCATGCTTTAGGGCCTTTTATCACACAAATGTAACTGTGCATTACCCCAAGTTGGTCAATAGTAGGGCTGCAACTAACGATTAATTTGCAAATCGATTAATCTGTTGATAATTTTTTTACAACTTTGGTATAATTGCAGCTCAAGGTGGGTTATTTCTGTGAGCTAAAGGAATGTTTTAAGGTCTCTTAACTCCAGTTAACAACTAATTAATTACTAAAATATTTGATGATTATTTCAATAATTGATTAATCACAATTCGTCCGATTAATTCTTTCAGCCTTAGTCAATAGTATTAAGTTTCAGATGCTACCTTAGAATTCTTTATAGCTTCACCTCAGCATCACATCAACAGCTAAATGGCTGAAACTTGGAAATGTCAAAACTGGTTTGGAATGGAAGAAATGTTGAGTTTCTTAATGCTGCTAATAATTTATGGACTGAAACCAACCACTTTAAATTAGCTCTAACATTACTTACAGAAGAGGTCAAAATATCAACCAAGACTAACTAATGCTCATGCTTTGTTTATGCCCACTTAGATCCACTGATTTCTCTGGAACCTGCTATGGGTCTTTGGGTAATTATTCAGCCTGTATTTGTACTTTAAGCCAGAGTATATGAATTAAACCCTGCTGAATTTAAGGAAAACACAATAAATTTTAATCTGTGCATCCATTTGTTATTTCAAAACATCAAAGAGTTAGTTTTATAAACATTCCATCAGGGAAAAGAAATATTTCAATGAAACGAGCGGTTTAGGAAAAATTTACAATAAATCCAAATTTATGCGTTGTTTTCAAACATCGTTGGAGTTGTGAAATTTTATCACTTTTTTAGGCCACTACGGGGAAAAAATTGTGGATCATTCAAAGTTCAAAAATAAATATGGCAGTCCTACCAGTGATTATTGTGTAAACTTCTTCCTGGAACTGTATTTCATTCTCTTTTCTAAGCAGTACTATATTCCCAGGTTTCTCTTTCACCTCTTCACCTTTTTACTTTGTCTCATTTTTTTAAAAGGGAAACTCCATATAGGAGTAGATGGTCACTCTTATGGAACAATGACTTCTGGTTAGGCTCCTTGCATTCTGAAAATGATCCTTATTGTGCTGAATCAGCTTGATATGTAAACTTTACACATCCCCGTTCAAATGCAGAGAAAATGAGCCCAATGTATATAATTTTAATATTAGATCACCTTTAATTTGACACTTTAAAGGGAGTGTTGACCTAGTGGTTAGAGCAGGGCGCTTGTTATCTGAGAAGAGTGCAAGTACCGGGTTCGATCCTCACAGCTCTCTGAGCAAAACCCTTAACCCCACACTGCTCCCCGGGTGCCACACAATGGCAGCCCACTGCTCCACAAGGGGATGGGTCAAATGCAGAGAGCGAATATTCCCATTGTGGGACAGTAAAAGGATTTTCATTTTTTTTTTTCTTTACATAAAATCCTTATATGATCATGGTGTCTGAGGTCATCCGTTGTTTTTGGCCACATGTAACTAAAATGTCTTTAAGCCTAAATAGTCAATGAGATCCAGGTTCCTTAATAAGGTTTAAAGTTTAATTTGACATATTATGGAATACTGTCTGTGATGGACTGGCGGCCTGTCCAGGGTGTACCCCGCCTCTCGCAGCCCCAATTGGGCAAGCGTGTCAGATAATGGATGGATGGAATGCTGCTTGGTAGACTTTGATAGCGACAGTTTGATGACACATATCTTTGTCTAAGTTGTTATCCAACAAGTTAGGTTTAGTATTGTTGTGCTGACTTGTGTGCATTAGGAAGAGGTGGTGATAAGTGAGTGAGGG